TTTTTTACAATGAGAACATTTGAAATGTACTCTCTTAGCAACTTAAAAAATGTAGCGTATCATTAACTATATGTAAAATAGTAACTATAAAAAGAGTGACTTAAATGACAAGCAATCATTTTCACATTTTTAAACAGATTCCAGCTGATAATTTATGACAGTAGAATAGACAATAATTAAATACTGGCTTTATACATATTTCTCTTTTTTCCAAAGAGATTTTTTTCTTCTTAACTAAGTATACTCACACACTCATACACACATGCACATAAATTGTAAGAACTAGCATCCTAAGCTACAAGAAAAAGAACCTTACCAAATAAAGCTTGTAGCCACTCAGTTTCTCAGCCTCATTATCTGCATAAAAATTGACCCACACAAAGCTGTAAAAGGGTGTCAGGAAAAGCCAAAGCCATAGCCATATAAATCTCAGTAAGTTCAAAGACAGTACTATGCCAGATATAAAATGCCATTAAACACACAGTGCCATAGCACAGCCTCTAAACTTTTTGCTCTCCAAGATTTGTGTCATTTTGTCTGCTTTATTACTGGAACTAGATGCATTAAATCATAAACCTGATGTTTTAAAAAGTTATCTTCTCCTTTTGCTTATTCCCCACTAATTCAAAAGTCATTCAGCCATGTGGCTGCAGAGAAAATTTTCACATTGTAGTTGTAAAAATAAGTAGTAACTTGGGAGAAAAAAAAAATCAACTTTTAAAATTGTGGTTAATAAAATTAACTTCCATAAAATGATGTCTGGTAATCAAAGAAGTATTTTAGACTCATAAAAGATGCATTTAATGGTATGCGCCTAAATAAAACGATTTTTAAAGATGTTTCTTAGAAAGCTCTTAATTCACCAAGGATAGTAACACAGGATTGAATAGCTGTTTGAATATTTTCAACTCAACTAGCTTTCTTCAACCTAACACAGTGAAATAAATCATAATGAATTTGAAAGAATGGATATAAAAATCCATTAAGACAAATTATGTTTCACAGCCCAGTACAGTAACAGCATTAATTCCTAGATCTGGCATTCTCATACATCAAACAACAACAATAAAAAAGATACACCAAACAAATAATATCAAGTACAACCTAAAGAAGGGTGTACTTTCACACATACATTGCTCAACCAAAATACGGAGTTTAAAACTTGAAGCACTATTAGAAGAGAAGAGCAATAAATCAGTACTACTTTTTCTGCAAACTCACTGATTATGAGAAACAAAGGAAACATATAAGGCTAGTTTTTATCTAAGGATAATCTACCTGTCACATTCCAAGCACATTATCTACTTTCTATATAATACACTGCCAACATAAAATGTCTTTTGTCTCCCAGATACTGCTGAAGGTAGCCACAACGACACTTACTAGACATCCCCCAAATACAGAAAGCACAATAAATCACTGTTTTTCCCCCAAGAAAGGATAATCCATCTTCAATATTAGAAGAATAATACAGAATTTAATAGGACCAGTATATGTTGCAGTATACTAAAAACATGACAAATAATGAGTTAAGACTGAGAACAGATATAAGTGTTCATGTAGCCAAATGAAGCTGATATTAAAGTTTAATAGCCTGTATATAACCTTGAGCATAAGAACCCAATGACTTGGATAAAAGCACTTAAGGAGATATGAATCTAGCTCAGTATTTATCAAAATATATTGCCAAAGTTTCAAGTCCTAGTGCTAAAACACTTCTTGGCCCTGAATAGGAAATGGGTTCTGTTGAAGTCAATCCAGAAAAACCAATTGGAGTATGAATAGCAACCTTCAGTGACTTGGCCTGAAAAATTCAAGTTCAATATTCAAGGAAAGAAATCCATTATTTTATTGGTTATTTCATAATTCTGAAAGTATAGTATGCTATCATTTAATTGCAAAGTGATTTCCTATTAACTTTACAATTAACTGTACTTAATATAAAACAACATTAAAATTTAATGTTGACAATAACAATAAAGACAGTAACATGCTACTTAGTAACAGCTAACATTTGTTAAGCTTTTATTGTAAGTCAGGTACTACATGCATATTCTCAAATCCTATAAAACTGGTACTGTGATAACTTTGGTAATATAGATGCGGAAACTAAGAGATCAAGTACATAATTTAACCAAGGTCACACATTTGGAAAATAGCAGTGTCTGGGATTATTGACCTGTTTGCCACTTTCTTCCCTCTAATGCAGAAACTCAGGAGTGGCAGGGGCAGTGGGGGTTGGGAAGAATTAAAATTGATGCTCAGGTGTGTAAACTACAACAGTTTCAAACTACTAAGTTCACATGTAACCTAGATTTTTAAGAGGTGTTAAAGTGACTGATAACCTGTCATACACTAAATAAATGTCATACAACACATAAGTATTTGCTGAACAAAAGTGTGTCAACAGGGGAAATAAAAGATATTAATGTTATTTTCTGCATCTAAAACATAAGTGCACAAACATGGTCATCCAGTAATTTTGCTCCTATAAATAACAGTAATAACTTTTTTAAATAGAGACTTGCCAAATAAGATAAATACATTGTCATTAACTAAACTGAATAGGATGGAAATACAAATATTTTACAGTGTATTTTCATTCACCAAATATTAAAAGAAATCCCATTCAAAATAATGTGTAAAAAATATAATGAAAGCTACAAAAAAATAAATATATGTATTCTATATTCGAGACAAGTTTTACATCCAAAATTTAAAATGACAACTCTATTTGCCTGATCAATGACCAGCTACCACTTCAAAAAACAATATTTAATCTGGAATTGGATATTCTTTCCCAAAGTAGGTCGCCTCCTTAGATTTCTGGGAATTTTATGAATGAATTTCAGAGGTCATTAATAATGTGAGTACTCTGAAAGTCGTTATTCATAACATGAATATTTTATTTAACACTTCTCTAGCTCTAGAAGTGAAACAGATCCTGAATTTCAAATATCTCTCAAATTTATCTCATAAGTTAAATTAGCTAAGTTTCCAGTTTCAATACACTAAGGGTATTTTTTTCTAATGTAGAGATAACTTGTATTATCTCTTCATAAACAAAGTAAGAATCATTTTCATGTCTTCATCTTTCTATAGGAATAAGAAATACCAAAACTAAGAAAGATTTTCAAAATTTCACAAACTTAACTGTGCAGAACATTCATACTTCTATCTTCTCTAACAAAAAACACTACAAGAAAGCCAGAAGTTCATTTTACCTCATCTTCTGACAGGCTTGGAAATCTACATTGAAATGAATTAAATGATTTAAAATCAAAAAGTTGTTGACAAAGGTCACAATGATAAGGAGTAAAATGTAAAGAATGGTGCTAAAATACTTAATTACACGATATATATTACAGAGGTGTCAATTTTATAGAAGCAATAAAATATCTTCCCTTGGGTGGCTTTTCTGACCATTAATCTTTTTACTGGTAACAAGCAATACTTTGATATAATTAAGACAGGTTTTTAACTACCAATTCATTGGACAGGCACTTCATTTGCTTCTCTGTTGAAACTGGTTTCTCAAGTATCCAGCACTACTTTAAAAAGCAGTCTAAGAATCTGTGTGCTGTGGTTTGTCACCCAACCTCCAAGTTACCAGAATACACAAATACTAAGCCAACCTTCCAGTTAAGCTTGCACCTGTGCAAGGAGAGGTCCCTTCCACTTCTCCAGTCAAAATAAAGTCCAGAAAATTGTTCAGTTTCCGATTACTGTAGTGACTGAATTACCAAAATAAATAAATAGAATTTAAGCTGGTCTGTTTCCATCACAGGATTTCAAAGCTACTCTCCCTAAGGCTACAAGCAAGTTTTTTACTTGTGTCTGGCCAAAGGAAAAACGTTTGCCAAACAGCGTTCCTGCTGCCATCCCAGCTGGCTTTTCATTTGTCCAAATCGCTCTCTAGTCATTGCCTTTTCACTTTACAAGTGTCACAGAGAATTGTGCCCACCACAGCCCCACCTCACCCCCAATCCCCAGTGCAGGTTCAGACAGTGGTATTTGGTAGAGTTCTTGAACTCCAAGCAGCCCGCTCCGGAAGCGCACTGCAAAACGCATCCCGGATGCTTTCCCAAATCTGTTCCCTCATGTTCTCATTTCAGAAAATCACTCTATTTATTCACCCTGAGAAAGTGGACTCAGCCCTGGATTTCGCACTCAAGAAGGAAACACGACCATTCCCTCTCTGTCTTCCCCTCCCTCTGCACCTCCTTTCCTCCCTCCACACTCACCCAGTCCTAATCGCCAACCCTAAGAGCAGCACTCAGACACCCAAACTTTCTAATTCCTTCCACCCTTCCCTGTCCCAAACGCTGGACAATCACATTGGAGATAAATGACGCTGGGAAATCTGGGTTTCCATCTGTCAAGGAGTCCCCTTTCCCCACAGCTGCTTTCCTGATCTCCCGCCCCCTCGAGGGGCTCTGGAGGTACCTTCATCACTTCTCCCCTACCGCCTAGAAAACCACCCTAACTGGAGCGCTGCAGCGGCACCAATAGCAGGTGATCCAGGCGGTGCGAGGCAACGCCTTGTGATGCCATCCTGCCCTCTGCAGGGACACCACTGAAGCCCAGGTGAAATGACCCCAGGAGTCCTGCGAAAGCCAAGGGGTGGAGGAGGGTCTATGTGCCCTGCCCTGTGCCCCAGTCTCTCCTACCCTGCCCTCTGCAACAGAGGGGCCCCCAGGCATCCGGGAGCGGGCTGGGGCAAGTGAGTGATACTTGTCATACACTAAATCAAAAAAGTTCAGGAAGTAGACGCCTGGGAGCTGGGTGATACTGAGTTCTAGAAAGGGGGAGTAGAGACGGAAATGTCCAAAGGAGAGAAACGTAAATCGCGTCTACTGCCTAAGGGAGTTGTGCTGGGAGAGCCGCTCACTCTAAGGTGTTAACCAGCTCCTGCCTGGGACACCCCTTCAGGGGATCCAGCGGTCCTGGAACCGGCGGTGGGGGAGGGGTGCTGAGAAACGCCCGGGCTGCGAACTTACGGAAGAAAATGTACTCGGTGTAGCTGCTCCAGATCTTGTCGTCGCGGTACTGGTTGACGAAGGCGGCGGTGCCCGAGGAGTTACACGCCACCATGTGGAAGCCGGCCTCTGACAGGCGATCGAAGGCCTGCTCCAAGTAGGTGAACTTGAGGTAGAAGCGGGAAGTGTACTTCTCCGGCTGCCGGTCGGGGTCGCGGCTCTCGTTGAGCGTGTCCCCGAAGACCTCCTTGGCCAGCGCGATGCGCCCACACACCATGATGCGCGCCACGCGCCGGAACTTGGCGTCGGCCTGGTTGTCGCGCACGGTGGTGTAGGAGCCCCGGTAGCCCAGCGTGAGGAAGCCCGAGCGCTTGTCCGGCGCGCCGCCGCCGCCACCACCGTGCGCTCCGGGGCCCGAGGGCACGGCGGCCGCCGCCCCGCGCAGCAGCAACGCATCGCTGCTGCCCTGAGAGACGTTGTCCTCCAGGTCGCTCTGGCAGCCCTCGTCGTTGAGCGAGTTCTGCTTGGTGACCTTGGGCGACAGCAGCTTGACCAAGTCGGTGAGCTGGAAATACTCGGCCTCGCGCAGGAGCCGCTCCTTCTCGGGGAAGTGCTCCGGCAGCGCGAGCTGCTTGTCCCGCAGATAATCCAGCACGTACCTGAAGAGGAAGCCGTCCCGGTCGATGAAGAAGCGCGCCCGGCTGTCCCTGGGCAGCTCGCCCCGGCGCCGGGCGCCGCCCCGGGGACTAGAGGGTGAGAACATGCTGGCCAAAGTGCTGTCCGGGACGCTGAGCAGCGTCGAGTGCTTGGTCACATAGACCTGGCCGCCTACGTTCAGCTCCACTACTTCGGGGAAGGGCGAGGGTGCGCAGGGCCCTGGGGCGGCAGCTGCCGACGCGCCGGGCGAGCTGGACGAGGAGACCATCTCGCTAATGGGCAGGATGGTGCTGCCGCCGCTGCCCGTGTCCTTCAGAGCCATAGTCCCCCGGCCGCTGGCTCAGTGACCCTAGGAGCAGCACTTTCACGTTCTCCGAGCCCGTGCCCCAAGCCCTCCGCGTGCTCCTTGGCGCTCTGCGCCCTCGGGCGGAGCGGCTTGTTCCTCCGGCCGGGGCAGCCCCACTCAGGGCTCGGGGCAGCGGCGGCGTCGGCGGCTCCCGAGCTCCATCGGAGGAGAGACGCGCGGGAGAGGAGCTCCGCGGGTGCGGCGGCGGCAGTGGAGAGGCAAGAAAGAGCGGCTGCTCCTTTGGGGAGAGGGCGGGGAAGTGTGAAAGAGACTTGCGAGAGGCTCTAGGGCTGCCGATCGACTCTCCGCGGGGAGGGTGGGAGGAGGGGCCGAAGCCAAGAAAACTCGCCGCCCCGGCGGCTAGCGAGCGCGGAGCGAGGCCCGAGCGCCGACGGTGGCGCTAACTACTCCTGGCAGCCCGGGAGGAGGCACTGACGTCAAGCCCCGGACTGGGACCCGAGCCTCAGCTGTCATTTAAAGAGATAGGCTCCCGGGCTCCGACGCTAGGGGGCGGGGCCGAGGGCCGAGCAAGCTAGAGGTGCAGCTCCGCGGTGGGCGGGGAGAGGCGGGCAGGGAGCGCCTAAAACACGCTCGAGAAAAAAGGACAGCGCTCTCCTTAGTTCATTTCGCTCCCTCTTTGGGTCAGTGCCCAATCTTTTCCTCCCTCCTTTCCTTCTTCTCTTCCTTCCTTCCTTGCCTCCCTCCCCGGTAAAACTAGTTTTTTACATTCTCATTAAGGTAAGGAGTGGAGGAGCAGAGAGGGGAGAATAGGTTTTGATAAAAGCAAAGATGCCAGGCTCCTAATCTGAAATCATCACACATGTTGGCCTGCGAGCAGTGATTGCAAAAAGATTACGTGAGGATGGGAAGGTGAATCTCTTGTAGTAGCTTTATGATACAGTTTAAGTGAAGGGCTAAATGCCTGTACCTCTCTTACAATCAAATTTCACGACTTGCATGCACTGAATATTCTTGAATAATTTTTAAAACTCTGAAATCTGGTTTCAGTTCACAATAATAGAGGAGTGTATGTAACGACTGTTTCCTTCTGACATTTTTACAATATTTGATTTTATAGTAGCTGCCCAATAAATGTTTAGAGAGGGAGAGATGGAGCCCAAGAGGAAACTTACTCCATTTGTTTATTCTAATGCCCATCAGTCTCTTCATTAATCTCTCCATTTCCCTTTCAACTCCATCAAGCAAGAAAAGTGGCTGCTATTTTTGTTAGTCTTCTAACCCCAAGAGAAAGGTCACTTATAAAAATTATATTTATTTAAGCTCACCTCAATTTCCATGTGTACATAGTACAGGTACAGTCTGCAACATGAACATTACTTGTGATAAAGACTGAAAATAGGAATGCAAATGAGAAATCTTTCTTTTACCCTGGGGCATACTTTTGTGTTCAGAAACAAAAAGAATCGTTGATTTATGAAGTACAAAAGAGAAAAGAGTGTATTGTGACACAAAGTAGTTTGCTTCAATTATCATAACAATATTACAGATGAACTTTATTCATTAGCAGTTAATATACAGATTTAAGTATTTTTTTAAAAAAGTTAAATGTCTATTAACAACTTTTTTTCAAACCACCCAAAAAAGTATCAAATTTCAAATACGGTTATAAATTAATATATTATTTTTTAGAACATTATGAACTATGTTTAAGTCATTGATTCTTATAAGCCACACGCATAGACGATGTTATGCCAGTTTTGAAGTTTGATTACATGAAACAGAGAGCCTAACTGACCAATGAAAGAAAACAATATATTTGCCAAAGGACTGAGACTTAAAACAGGGGTTTCTGTATGCATTATCATGCAATCCTTTTACTCAAAATGATTTTGTCCTGCCAAATGTATAAACTGATTGACCAAATTAAAAAATTTAATTAATTTTAGCCTTCATTTAAAAGTAACAACCAAGCATTAAAAGAATAGAAAAAATACACTATTTTCTGCCTCATTAGAAGAATTAGAAAGTATTGTGGATTTAATGTAATTGTTCCTGGATAAATGAATTAATAGATTCTGTATAACCTTCATAGATTAATAAATAATAATGCCTCAAACCACTACTAATGAAGCCCATTTATCATGAGGTAAATGTCCCTACTGAGAAGTATGGGGCAGATTGTAGAATTGTAATGAAGTGGATATGATAAATATGCATATGAATATGAAGTCTCTAATATTATCAGGTTGAAATCCATCTTTTGAATTAAAAAAATTATATTTATAAGACAAAATGATCAAAATTTATACTGTAAATGAATCATCTCAAAAATTCACAGCAAATTGTATTGTTTGATATATTGCTTTTTAAAATGATTCCTTCAACATTGATTAAACACTTTTTCTTAATCTCTTCCCTCTTCATACTCCTGTTAATCTCCTGTCTGCCAATTATACCCTCCAACCAAACTGAGACTGAGCAAATTGCAGAGGTACAATGTTTCTATATTTCCTCTTCCTTTTGCTAGGAATGCCCTTCCTCTTCCACCAGATCCCTAACCCATTCTTCCTGCTTACTGATTTCCTCCAGCTGTCAACTCAAATATCACTTTCTCTGGAAATCTTTACATTCATTCACCCAATCCGGTGAAGTGTCCTCCTAAGATGTGTCCATAAGACCCTGTGCTTACAGACAGGCAAGGTTTATCACATTGATGTGTAACTGTGTTCCGCGAGATTGTAAAAATGACATGCGACCATATGCATTATTATATCTAGTAGAGGTAAACTGTAGAGGTAGCCCATAAAAAGGTAGCCATTTGGTATTTGTTGAACGCTCACTGAATAGAACTTTATTAATATCATAAATGGATGACGATGCATCACCTATGTGCTGGGTACTAGGTTAAATAATGAAATTACAGAATTGAGTTAGACCCTGTTCTTTACAATTAAGATCAGGTAAAGTAAGAACAAAATCTGATCAAAATAAACTCAGAAATGACAAAAAAGAAAAAGCAAGGAAGAGACACAATTGAAGCAATTCATTTAGTAAACTGAGCAATCAACCCCAAATACCATAATCAGAACCGTTTTGCTCTAAACCACAGACACCATTAATGTTCCTTAGACCAATTTGATCACACATATGGGTCTTTTAAGATCTTCCATTGGTATACAAAGACAAGGCAGCAAACTTCTCTGAATAGAAATTACACTAGAACAGTTCCCATACCCAGTACATTTTAAAATAACACAGTCAAACCTCCATGTCTCTAAAAGCACAGCAAACAAACCAGAAAGGACATACTGAGTTCAGATTTTAAAACATACATAATTTAAAATTTACAATAACAAATTAAATATTTCTTTACCAGGCAGAGTTACTAAAAGGCAGAAAACATATCTCCTTCTAAAGAAGAGGAAGAACACAAAAGATAACAATGAGATTTAGAATAAAATAGAACTGTGTTAAAATCTAACCTTGTCTCTTACTAGCTTTGCAATTTCAACAAGTTACTCTGAACCTCAGTTTTTTCATGGGCACAGTGGAAATAACAAAGAACCTAGCTCATCTCATCAATGATGGTTTGTAATAAGACCACCCAAGTTTAATGGAGTTCACTATATTTATAATGTCTATTTCACAGTATGGTTCTCAGGGATGGGAAGAGAGTTACATCTTGACCAGATAGATCCAAGATCCAGAATCAGGTAACTGATTTTAGCAGCTCTACCTAACTTCTTTCCTATTGTCTCACCCCTAAGGCATGGAGTTACCCAGCCTTCTCATTATGAACATCCCCATACTGTCATGTCCTTCCTGTCTGTATCTATTGTTGTCTCCCTCATTGCATGTTATCATCCTAGACCACTGATATAATTTTATTGATTTAATTTATCTTGGTCCTGTTCTTTTTTTTTTTCTTTTAACTTTGTTCAGTCTTTCGACTGTGGTCTAATTACCCCTTTTAGCTTGCTTCTGTACAAGGCCAACTGTGCTTCTAATTTTCAGGCAACCATCTGGTCTCTGTTTATCTAGTTCACAACATATAAAAGTTTTATGAAAAAACAAACAATCACAAACAAAAAGCCCTCAAGTATCTCATATAATTCTAAACAAAAAGCCTGATATTCTTTCCAGTATCAGAGGCTTTGCAGTTTTTAGAGCAGTGCTGTCTAATGTAAATATAGGAATCATATATCTCATTTTTAATTGCTTATAGCCACATTAAAAAATAAATGTGAAATTACTTTAATAATATGGTTTAGCCTAATGTGTCCAAAACATCATTTCACAATGTATTAATGACGTAATTTACATTTTTCCACACAAAGTCTTGAAAGTATGGTATGTATTTAGGTCTTCTGACACATCTTAACAGTTATAACATAACTTGGACTAGCCATATTTCACATGCTAAATAATCACATGTGCCTAGTGGCTTCTAAACTGAACAGCATAGCTCTAGAGCATTTGTGACTTTAAAGCATCTCTGTCTTTTGAGGATTAGGTAAGAAAATGTAACTTTTTAAAGTTTTTAATTACAGGATTGTAATGAGAGGAGGCTGGAATTCAGTACTTGAGTAGACTCAAAACATGGAATGGGGACAATAAAACATCTCTCTAGCCCAAAGAGAGAAAGAGAGAGAAGAAAATTAATATAATCACTAAAGAACTTAGATGTTCCTTACAAACCCATCACACCCCCATAATGTTTGCAGTATGCATCACTTTTACGAAAGGCAGGCCATTAGCCTTTGTAGGAATAAGACTGAAGATGAGATCTTCTACAAGCAACTGCTGCTGAATCTGGGGAAAGTTGGAAAACAGAGTATGCACTGCCCCCAAACCTCACGTTAATTTTGAGAGCGTCACTGGTTCTATCGAATGGAAAACTTGTGCAAATTAGGTATTTAGAAAACTCAGAGTATCTATGCTTGATGAACATGTTAAATAACATGTTCCAGCAACTTCAATATCTTAGTATAATTCAGTATGGGTTCTGATTCTATATTTAAA